TCCATAGAGACTTTTCACTGATCATAGATTTTTTTTACAAAGCTTTCTGGTGGTAATCATACAACCAATGCTACCGGACCGATTGTATCTCACCCTTCAACAAAGTCCAATAGCACTGGTGATAGCTCAAACATTAAACCTCACAGTGAGAACAAGTAAAACTATTAGGTTTGGGCATAACACCTTCAAAGAAGAACTAAATCCCAATACCTTTCTCTCTCTCTGAATGTTTTGATCTGATTTCTTTTCAAATCTGTTTAAAATTTTCATGGATTTCTCTTATTTGATCTTCATACTCGATCTTTTGATCCAATTCTTACACAATCAACTTCTTTCCAGCTCTTGTTGACTTTCTTTTCTTGGCCTGATTCCAAAAAAAACTGTAATCTGTACTTATGATCGGATTCTTTAAGTGAACCTTGTACTTTTACTCTCTTGAATTCAAAATTTTAGACTTTCTTTCTCAACTTGATTTAAAATCCAAGATCACAAAGAACTCAAAATGTGATCAGGATGAAATTTTGAGTAGGTTTTAGTAGTATTAGTACGATTGGTGGGTATCTAATCATCTGAGACATCATCATTAACTATAGATTTGAATTCCAAAGCATTCGAACTTGAAGTCTTCCCCCATGGAATCTTTTTTCGTTCTATACTTCAGATCTGTTTGAGAAAAATCAAGAATTTTCAATTCTAGAGATCTCTGGTGAGGTTTATGATGGCGATTTCTTGATTTGAGTGATTTAGACAATGTGGGGGAGATTTTGAGCTCTTCGATATACTTGAATTTAAATCAGCTTGATCATCTTTGCAGTTGAGATTTTCATCAGTCATTGTATCAAAAGAATTAAGTGATGATGATAAGCATGGGTTGAAGCGGACTAAAAGGGCTGATGATGGAGATGGAGGATGAAGATTTGAATCAAGGTAACTCAGATTTCATTCATAGCTTACCATATCATTAAATTCCCGCCAGAAACTGTAGTTGTAAGTGTTATCGAGTAACACATTCTTAGTCGATGACTGATCATCTGAAAACGAAGAGTGTGTACTAATGTTTTGTGGTGATGAACGCTGCGTGGAATCCTTCTGAGTTTCTGTGGGCCTGAGATGCCAATGACATCATGATCGACTGTTTACCACTCTGCATTCATCTCACTCTCAATCTTCATCCTCCTCAAAACCTTTCCATCAATCTCTCATCCTTATCCTCTCTTCTCCTGTCCCTCAACTATTTGTGGTTTGAGGCCTTGGAGTATACCTTCTATGATTCTTAGTATTTGAATATCTTTTTCGTTTTCCATTCCTCATGTTCAAACAAATCGTTAGATCCAAATCACAAATCATCAAGATTTCTCTGATCAATCTTTAATAAATTAAAACAAAAAGACCAGTCTCAAGATCTCTTGAAGATTAAAATAAAATTACACAATCAACCATTGAAATTCGAAATTAAATTCAAACCAAATCCTACTCCAACTCAAACCCAATCCCAGATCTTCTAATCCCATCCAGATAAACTTCATCAAGTGAAAGCTTTCGTGGATACGGAAGATAACCAGCGTTTAATCTACGACTCATCCTTTTTCCAATCCCTTCATCATTCCTTTTCTTCACCCTACCTTCCTTTTCAAATTCTTTTTCATATGATTCTTCTGCTTCATCTTCAGTCTTGACTATCAATCTTAACCATGGAAGGTGATCTAAAATTAATCCTTCAGTTGAGTTTAAAGGTGCAGAGAGTGGTAAGAAGTCGGTTGAAGATTCAATCAAATCACAATATCTTTTCCTACATCCAATCCAAGATTCAAACTTTCTCATCAATTGATCCTTTCTTTTTGTTTCCGATGAAGAAGAAAAGAATGATGCTTACCTTTGAAGTTCAAATTTCCTTTCATCAAACCTGTTCAAGATCCCAATCAACTTCTTCCTAATCTCAATCGCATTCTTTCTTTCTTGATCATCACTTGCTAAACTTGCTCTAGACCAGATCTCATTCAATTCATCTCTCTCGATCCATTTCATCTTATTCGGTAAAACGATCTCATCCGTTTCACAAACGTTCAAATCCCATTCAAAGTTCTAAACCAAAAGATCACCATCACCATCAGTCAAAAATCAACTTAATCCCACCATCCTCAGATGAACTTCACTCAACTTGAATTTGGACTTCTTGACGTTGATCAACGAACCCATCCACAAATGATCTGATTTCTAAACTCTTGAGAACTTTTTCAAATCCACTGAACCCATCAAAGATCTCCTCAGAGCTCTCCTCCTCCTTCTGTTCGATTTGGTAAATACGTTCTTCAACACTCATCTCGATCAAATCTTGTTCATGCCTTTCAATAGGTAACGAATCAGAAGAAAATAACATTTTACTTTCTTTGTCAATCTCAAGATCTAACCAACTAACCCCTCCCATCTTACATCCAATTCCCCACTGACACCAAAACTGTAACATATTCAAACATCTCCTCAAATCAAGTCCATCTTCTTCTTCTTCTTCTCCAATACCCATCTCAATCGGTTTTTTATACCGATGTTCGAATGAAAAGTGTTTCAAAGTTTCATCATCCATCAAATGACCTTCATTTAAACTGATCACTTTCATCAAGCTCGTACCTTCTTCAATTGATGGAGATTTGAATTCTAGACAAGCTTGTAATGGTAAACTGTCTAATGGTAAGATGCTTTTATCATTACAAGTCATAATCACCGGTCTCATTGACTCTGAAATCAATTGAATGACTCCTGGCCAAAACTCTTTATCTTGTTGATACACGATATCCACTTCTTCTAATAAGATCAACGTTTGTTTAGTTGTTCCATTCGATCGAGTTTTGATTTCTTCTTGTACAGATCGATTCTCTTGAGTGAACTTGGATTGAGTTTCATGAATTAAATCCTTTTTCACCTTTTCACCTTTCATCATCTCACTAAACACATTTCCAAGTGTTCCTTTGGGATTTTTAACCTTCGTTTGGGTGGTCCTGATCGATGGAGTAGATGAAGGTACTTGATGATTAGAAGAATTGGGTAACACATGATTCCTCGCCACATCACCTACTAATCTTTCGATTTCTTTACGATTCCTTAAGACGCCTGAATTCAGTTCGAACACATCCCAACCGATCTCATTTGCAAGAGCATAAACTGAACAAGTTTTACCTGTACCAGATGGACCGGTTAATAACATCAAATTCGTTAAATTCTCAAATTCAATCTTGGAATTTGTTCTCTGTTCCTTAGGGGTGTTCAAGTTGAGCGGAACCCAAGAAAACAGATCCGATTCGTTTTCTCGGTGATTTCTTCAAACTGATGTCTTCTTCACTGTCTTCTTCTTCTTCAAACTTCACATCTTTTGCATAGATCGTATCTGAATCTTCTTCATCTGAGTTCACTATGAAATCTTTCAGATCATCATCATCATTTAATCTTCGTCTCTTACTTTTTCGCTCGACTTTTCGAGTGATCGTTCGTTTCCGTGGTGCGTTTTGATGTTGATGAATAGATGATCGTTTTGATTTTTTTCCATGACTGGTTTTTGATTGAGAATGAGATACAGAAGGATCTGAAATAAAACAGAAAGAAGATTAAAATTCATCTCTATAATAAAAAGATCTCAAAAGGTCTTTTGGTTGGGACAACGAACCTGGCAAGTCTGCTTCTTTGAGCGCGATTTCTTTTAACCAAGCTTTCAGAATCTTCACATTCTTCAAATTCTGTTCTCCCAAGACCTCAAAGGAAGTCTTGGGAGCGTATTTTTGTGTCCATAATAAAGAAGAAGAATGTGAAGGACGATGATGTTGTCTGAGTAGAGAAGGATGATCAAAAGTGATGGTGGTTTGATGAGGTAAAGGTTCTAAAAGTTGAAGTAGTCTGAACATCAACGGTTTTTGATACATCAGATTTGATTTTAGGTCTGAGAGAAGTTGGCTTGGTGGAAGTAAGTCTAGACGTTTAAGGGATGGTAATTTGATTGAAGGCATCGGTTTGAGTTCTTTGATTTGATTGAATATGAATTCTTCATTGGACAGTGTTTTTGTTTTGGATTTTCCTTTTTTGAGTTGAAGTGGATGATTTGGAAATTGAAGTTGAAGGTGAGATGAATGAGATCGATATGGATCTCGATTATGAATGAAATCATCTTTTGGCCAATTTGGTTCGATTGGGATGAGGTTTGATTTAGATTGTTTTGATTTTCGAATGGCATCTAATTCTGAAAAGCTTAGAAAGTTTGAGTTAGATTTCTTTGAATCTGATTTGATTTTTTGAGTAGGTTTTGTGATTGAGATAAATTGGTTTTGATGATCATCATTTTCATTTTCATCTTCTTCGATTGAGATTGAAGGCGGGTTTGAGACTTGTTGATTAGATTTTCTTTTTGAGATGGGTTCTGTTTTTGAGATTTGATGATCAGGTTTAGATTTAGATAAAGTTGAATTTAATTTAGAACCAGATGATGATGATGATGATGAAATGATTGAATTAGATTGATGATGATGATGATGATGATCAAGTTCATCTTCTATGATGATAATTTGGTTTTGATTTTGTTTAGGTGGATGAGAAGTGGATGTGAAGAAGGAAGTGATGGATGAATTCTTGGTTTTTGACATTTTAAAAATTCAATGTATAAAAGAGAGAGAGAAAGAAAGAAAGAAAGAAAGAAAGAGAGAGAGAAAGAAAGATTCAAAACTTGAAGAGAAATCGAATAAATTAAATAAATAAAACCAATCTCGATTTTTGAATCTTAATTTGACGCGTTAAAATTCACAATTTGAATTTATCTATCAATCAATCTTCTGTCGTCTTTGAATTCCTTCATCTTTCCTAAACTCTATAACCTTTCAAGAAAAGGTACATAACTGATTTCAAAAAATTTATCTAAAATCCAATTCATTCTTTCTCTTCATCATTGTTTTCAACATTTACATCTCCTTTGAAAACTATCAAGATCAAGTATTTAAGATGTCATCGGAACGCGTGACGTCATTGGCTGTCTGGCCCAATGGTTAAGGCGCTTGCCTACGATCTACTCATCATTTGAGTCAGGTTCAAGCAAGAGACTCCAGGTTCGAGTCCTGGGATGGTCGTGTGTCTGATTTTTTTGAAACGATCTGAAAGTGTTTCAGAATTTAGTCGATTGTTACACTTGATTGAATCAAAAGAAGAGTGAAGAGTGAAAAGGTAAGTAGAGGTAAGTTCGTTAAGCATGGTGGTGAAGATTTAAACAAAGAGAGAAGACCAATCAAAAAAGGAGTCTTTGAAAATTAAAGTATTGGTGAGAAATCCATCATCAAAACCATTTGTGGTTTTTTTAGATAGGAAAAAGATATTGTATATTTCTCATTTCTTTTATTTCTTTTTTCTTTTTTTTTAGAGAAAAATGATCAATAATTTTTCATTCAAAAAAAAAAACCAAAATCATCATCATTAATTTTTTTTTTACTTGGTAAGAATTATTAAACATCCAAAACCAAAAACCAAAAAATTCAAAACTTCAACCAACTTCAACCAAATTCAAAAAAACCCCTTCTTAAGTAAAGAGTTTTTGTGTTTATTTTTTTTGTTAAAAAAACACACACACTTCATTCAAAAAAAATTTAAGTAATTAATTAATAAGAGAGAAAATCAATCAAATTTTCAAAACCAAAAAACTTGATCAAATTCTTCATCTTAATTTTCATCTTAATTTTTTCATTCATTTTCTAATTTCGATTTTTCTAATTTCGATTTTTCTAATTTCGATCTTTCTAAATATCGATCTTTCTAAATATCGATTTTCTTTTTTTTTTGAATAATCAAAAAAAATATATATATACCCAAAAAAATTATACCCCATGAAATCAAAGAAAAGCAAAAAGAATAAGACCCAATCTCAAAAAGAAAAGGAAGTTTTGAAACCTAAATTTGAATTTGATTTTGTTTTGTGAAACCCATCTAATCTGACCATTTTCACAATCCTTTTTTTTCGTCGGGGTGGGGGTGGGGAAGTTCCTCTTAAAAATCCAATTTCTCCCTCCCGCCCCCTTTTCCACCAAAAAAAAAACTCTAGAAACTTTGAACCCTAAATCCAATGAATCCTAAACCCGCCCACCCAATCAAACCTCAATCCCTTTTCCCTTCTTCTTCTTCTTCTTCTTCTTCTGTTTCCTTTTTTTTTCCAAAAAACCCTCTCATCATTCATCTCCAATCGCAGCAGGCGAATTAACCTCTTCACTTACCCTTCTTTTATCCTTTCTCACCTCTTCATCCCTTTCACTTTCACTTTCACTTTCACCTTCTCCATCTAATTCTACTTCAATGGCCTTCTTGGTCGATCCTTCTGATTTCCTTTTCTTTTCTTCTTCCCAAACATCTATCGCTGCACAATCTTCTAATGTATTAAAGGCTTGCCATGTTGCTTCTGATTCGGGATATCCTGCCTGTTATCCCATCATTCGTTCAGTCCCCCCCATCCCACACACACACCAAAAAATAATCAACAACAGAAAGGATCAGTGAGTCTGATTGGGTCAGAGTGAACCGAAAGATCAAAGATTTGATTTACCCATAAGACTTTATACACCCTTTCTCCATCCTCATCTATCCTCTCTCCAATAATCTTTTCAATCACAAACACCCCTTCATCCTCCTCCTCCTCCTCTTCCTCCTCCTCTTCCTCCTCCTCATCCTTCTCTCGCTTCACTTCCTTCTTCTCATTCAGACCTGAGACTTGACTTCTTCGTTTCTTATGAGAAGTGGTGGAGGAAGAAGAAGACTTGGATCGTTTGAGATCGATCGAAGCTTTTTCGGGATGAGTGGATCGGGTTCGTTTACGAGTCGGTTTGGAATGAGGGGTACTTGTCGATTTTGAACGTTTGGGGTTCGAATCGAGTGATTTTCGAACCGGTTTTTGAGTGCTCGGTAGGGTAGATTGAGGGATTGAATCATTTGAACTTGGACTTGATCTAGGACTTATCAAGAAGATGGGTGTTGATTCGGAAAAAAAAAGTGAGGTTGAGGTTGAGAAGAAGAAGTTCAGGAAGAGAAGAGGAAAGACCACTAACGCGTCTGCGAAGGCGATTTTACCCAAGACAGGTGACGTTTCGACGTCTAATAAGAATGGATCGATATGAACCTCGGTAGATTGAGATTGAGATTGAGATTGAGATTCGGATCGATTTGAATTTAAGTTGGATTTGATTGAATGATGATTAGATTGTGATTTTCGTTTGGAGTTCGAATCGAGTTCAAAGGTGGAAGTGGATCTTTTGGATTTCGATTTACTTGAACTGATCTCCGGGGTGAAGTTAGATTGACTTGTTGATTTTCTAACTCTCGTGGAAGGTTGTCGAGTTAATTGAGCTAAGAATTCAAAACAAATGAACCAAGTCAGTTTGAGAATCGGGTTTTTTCGTTGATGTGTGTTTGAGATTTGGAATGAGAATGAACTTACCACCACCTACCGAGTTTTTTAATTTGATCAAGTCTTTGAATTTATCGGATTCTAAGAATTGATCAATAGCCAATTCTTCACGACCGAATCTACCAAACTTTTTAGTTAAGACGGTCGAGGATTGAATGGTTGGAAATTGAGATTTGAACGTCTTCAATTCGATCTGTCTCTCATTCAAATCTGAAAGATGATCGATCAACTTTGCGGGTTCTAATAAGACTCTTGAATCAAAGGTATGTTTGAGATACTTGTCGAGTGACATGAAGGCTTGATAGAAAGAAGAAGAAGTGGAATCTGAAGCGATGGTGAGTTGATGAGTGGTGGGGTTTGATTTGAGACAGTTTAAATCCAATTGAGCTAATTCGACTAATTTTCTTTGGATCGAATCACATAATTTAAAACAAAGGTTCCAAGCATCGATCTCATGATAGGTTAATTTGAAAAGATCAGTGGTATTGATGATTTGAATGAGACCATCTAAGAAATCTAAAAAGTTGTCTAATTCGATCAAGATTGAATCTGAGCAGCCTGAAAGATCATTGAGATCCAAAGTTTGATCGATCGAATCATTCCAAGATTCGATGAGTGTTTCAGGTTTTTTTAAACAAAAGTTTAAGAATAATCGAATGCCAATCGGATCTGAGATTTCAGGTTCGTCTACGATCGCTTGTAAGAAATCATAACAGAAATCTTTTTGAAAGGTTGAGGTGGCTTTTTGAATTGAGATTCTTAGAGCGGGTGTGAGTTTGGAAGTGAGTTGATGATGAATGGGTAAACCGGTGTTGAGTGTGGTCATTGCTTGATGGATTGATTGATTGATTGATTGATGAGAATGAATGAAAGTGATGTGGAATTGATTGAAGAAAAGTGAAGATTTGAGTTTTGATCGAAAAGTCAGAAAGTCAACTTAAGTTTTGATTTCAATTCACCCACCCACTCAACACGCTTCCTTCCAGAACACGCGTCAAAGCATTCCAACCAAGAACAAATGAACCATTCGAATTCACATTCCATCAAGTTTCCATTATCGAAGATTCATAGATTACTAAGACCATTGAAATCATCCATCATCTCATTAAAACAAGCAGAATCAGAAGCCATTCAAGCAACACAAGCACAAGCACAAGCCACTCAACAATCCCAAGCACAATCTCATCTAATCTATCATGAACCAAAATCGATCAAACGAAAGTCACAAGACGATTCAGATTATCATCCAAACCCATCTCAATCAAATCAAAACATCAAACGAACATTCAAAAAATTAAAATCTCATTCTTCCCACCACAAATCAAAACCCAAACTCACTTCATCATCTAATCCAACTCTCATCAGTTCTCCTCTCTTTGAATCGATCGAATCTAATCATCTTAAATCATCTTCATCATCAAGAAGAAAACCAAAGAAAGCTTTTTATGGTCAAAGAAGATTGATCAGACGATTACCCTTCAAACTTCATCTCTCTTCAAACCCTTCGACTCTCTCTCCTTCGACTCATCATTCAAATCAAATCAAAACTAAAACTCAAAAACTCATCTTAGCTTATAAGAACATCTTAGATTCAGTTCAGTCCACTTCCAATTCAAATCCCAGTTCCAATTCCAATTCCAATTCAATTCAATTAACTATCATCTGTGCTCAAGTGATTGGATTTCAACTTGAATCTATCTTATCATCCCATTTGGATTCTCATCATCATCTTTCAAATGATGATGATGAGGATGATGATACAAATCAAATCAGTTTGATTGAAGAAGAAGATTGGAAGACGAGTTTGATGGATGAATGGTATGATGCGATCCCAATGAACCATCGAAGGTAAGTTTCATCTCATCTGATCATCATCATCCGTCTTCAACTTTGTCACTCATCTTCATATTCCAATCGGATCGGTTCAGATACGCTTTAGCTCAACATTCACTCAGTTTGATCTTAAACGAATTCGGTCCTGAAAGTCAAACCTCATCCAATCTTTCATCTTCTCCTTTACTTTCTCAATTACTTCAATTACATCGATCTTATCCTCCTTCAATCTTGATCTCATCTCAATCTTCTAAACTTTTAACCGCTCTGTTTCAATTAGATCAAATCGATTGGTTTGAATTATATGATTCATCCTTTCATCAATTCAATCTCAAATTTCAATTCTTAGAATGTTTTCAAACCCGATTGAACTCCACCGAATTCTTAACTCATTGGTTAAATTCAAAGTTTGGTTTGATCGGATTCATAGATAAATCCACTCATGAGTTTCTTTCGATCGGAATTCAAAAATGGTTAAAAGACAGATCAGTTGTCTTAAAACGAAATTCAATCAAACAAGACGAAATCGAAGTGGGCATCAGATCTTCTCTTTCGGATGAAGAGTTTCATGATCAATATAATTGTGAATGGATTGAAGAGTTTGATGAGAAAACTCAATCGGTCTTACTCAAATGGATTGATTCTTTAGTGAAAGCTTCTTTACCGAATTCGATTCAATCTAAAGCTGCTAGAGATCAATTCAATCAAATCTCAGATCTCGTCTTTGATTCAATCGACTTTCATCCTCATCCTTCTCATCCTCATCCTCAAGATCATCTTCATTCGCAATCATCTAATCTCACTAAATCTAATCGATTGTTAATCTTCATCTCCCTTTTAATCGAATCTCAT